AGTCCAATAACTAAAAACATGTTTGGGTGCACTGAAAATAAACTATGAATTTAAAAACTATGGCTTTTAAAAAAAGTAATGTAATATAATGTAAAGCCTTAAGAGTAATAGGGGTAATACCAAAAATGGGAATATAATAAGAAATGTGATATCTACTCTTGTGATTGACACTCGAATACTCAAAAACATTGTTAGATTCAAGTTTTTTCTCCACGTGTGGACTCTTTTAACTATTGTTTCAATGCCACTACGCTCGCTAAGTATGCTACAGAATTTTCTGCAGCTTTCCTCGGACTTTTCCATTTGTTTTCCTGCACTCAACTTCTTTGCTGTTTTTAAGGATGCTGGTACCATGAATGTGGAGGGTCTATATAGAGATGGATAATGCTAAATGATGAAAAGAATGGGAGTGCCAGCATTGTTGCGACCGTTATTGTTGTGAATTTACTCGGAAATAGTGGAGGGGTTACTAAAACAAAAGTTACGAGAAAAGTTACTCACCCAACCATTTCCTCCCAATATTTTCGCCTAAAAACGAACGGTTTGCACACTTTTTTCGGGATACCAAACTTGCAGAGCGTTTTTTGCGGAGGTAAACAAGCGGCAAACTTGAACCGAAACAAGTGCAAAGTGAAAGTAAATATGAAAGACAAACAGAAGGCAGAAAATAAATATACGTGCAGGGAAAAATCAAGGTAAATATGTATGTATTCTTCCAAAGGCTCAATGCCGAAACTTGAGGACTTTACAACTTGAGCCACAGGATGTGGCGAAATTGAGCTGATTTCGAGTCAAGATGGGCGGTCAATTAAAATCAAAATGAAGCCAAATTGAAGTGAAGATGTAAAAATGTAAATTAATGATGTGAAGGAATCAAATTTTGGCAGAGCAAATTCTGTAACGAATTGAAAAGCCAGCGGAAATTGAATTAAATGTATTTCAAAAACTAAATGAGCTTTAGAACTAAAACCGAATGAGAATTACAAAAACTAAACAGAATGATAAAGTGCCATGTGCCAAGTGGCATGCATATAATGCATAATACATCTAAACCTAATTCCAAAAAGCTGTGCAAATCAGTGTAGATGGAATAATCAAGTGATGCTGTAGCGGAAATTAAGAGGGAAATTAAGTGAAAGTGAGGCGGGCATAAATCAAGGCGCAAAGTGAAGGGCGGAAAACGGGAAAAACCCTCTTGAAACTTCATTTTTCCATTGACTTTCCCCCCGTTTTTTTTTTCATTTTTTTTTGCTTCATTTTCTCGTTTGGTGGTGGCGGTAGCGGTGTCTTTTGCTGGCTTTTTAATTGCCACTTACGCATTCTGGCTTAGACCAAAAGCCCTTGATGCTCTGTCCCGAGTCCTGCGTCCTGCGTCCTGCGTCCTGTCTCTCCGCCTAATTTATTTTGTTTTTTATTTTTTTTGCCTTTTGCCAAGCGCTCTTTATCCTTTTGTCATTTCGGTTGGGTGAAGAAGCGGCAGGCGACATAAATTAAACTCAACTAATTGCGTATACGCCGCGTGTGCCTTAAGTGGGCTTTACCAAGGACAGCGGCAAGGACATCGCTTTCGGGGCTTAGCAGTAGTCCAAGTTGATCCTGCAGCAGCAATCGCTTTTTATTATTCCGAAATTCGCGCTTATCCTTTGGGGGATTTGTGCCTATGATTTAGTAGTGTGCAGTGCCATTAAAATTTAATTAAATGCCCCGCAAACGCACATGAGTGGCGCAATGCTGTCACCGCACCAGGAGCACCAGGAGCACCAGGAACAGGACACCGATGACGCCACATAGCCAACAGTCCGCTTCCTTGTTATTACGATTCCTCGGCAGCCGCATTATTACTATCATTATCAGCATTGCCAACATTTCCGGCCGAGCGCAGCGACATCAAATGAAATTCGTTTTGTCTCTGTGCTTGTAATAATTTATAACACGATGAACTTGTCGTCCTGCACACACACACACACACAGCAACAAAGCACACACAGACAGTCACGCATATATGCAAATGAACTATGTGCTACCTTATTTATGTACTTAGTATCCCTACATGGCGTACAGAGATAGGCTTCGGAAATTTGTAGTCCTCTCGGATGTTTCTGATTTTTGCAGGCCCGGAATTTATTATAAGTTTTTGGACTGAAGTGCGCAAAGTGATGTTAGTATAGCGAACCAACTGCATCCCAAATGTGGTATTTTGAAATGAGGTTCGGAGGTTAAAGCGGAAAAGTGATGTCGAAACTGAAATTGACTAAAGTACACCATTTTTATCATCTCTTCAATCTGACTGCGACTTCAATGTCTTGCTTTCAATTAGGCAACTAACCAAGTCATGTTTATCCTTATAGTATACCCTAGATAAACTGCCATGCGCCCAGTGAAGAGAAAAAAGTCGTCACATCGTCGTCATCATCATGATTGTCATCGTCATCAGCGAAGCACGATAATGATAACAATAACAAACAAGCGCAGCGACAACTCTGGCCCGAAAGTGGGGTTTCTTGGGAGGCCAGTGGGTGGTCTTCAGTGGGTGGTGGGCGGTGGGCGGTGGGCGGATGGTGTGATATAAAGATTGTTGCCATATTGCTATCATTTGCACACAATCAGCGTCAACGTCAACGGGATGCGAAATGAGTGAAAAAAGGCAGGCGAGGCGGGGAGCGAAAAGAAAAAGCGTGACTGAGGTCAAAGGGCACACGGCTGGCGGGCTGGCGCGGTGGGTGGGCTTGGTAATGTATGCAAAGGGCTCAACCACCCACCTTCCAGCCACCCTCCAACCTGCCAGGGATCCGCCTCGAAGGAAGTGAAACCATTCGACAGGATGAGTCGAGGATGAGGCGGTGATTGCTCGTCGTTCGCCTACGTTGCCGCCGACAAAATTGCAGATAATGTACAAATCAATTTAAATAAATAGCGTAAAATCAAATTTCCTAGAACAAAATACACGGGGGCGCCTCGAGTGGCGTTCAAATTTCCATGTGGCGCAGAAAGGAGGCAAATGGAACCCCATTTCCAAGGAGGAATTGACTGGCAATATAATCATTAGCGAAAGAGTGATCGGAATACAAAATGAGTGATCGGCATACCGAATGAGTGAGTTTAAAATGTACACACAAAGTGTGCTGCCTATGAAAACTGTTTGCTAATGGGTTATTAAGCCAATACTAATTTAGCTAACAATGTTTTGAGTTTGAATATCGTTCTTGTGCTCCTCGAAATGCCAACAAAGGCAATTTCCAGTTCTGTTTGCTCCTTTGACACGTATTTAACCACACAACCGCGACCTTGACTGTCGGCCTGCCAACCCAACCACCCACCACCCACCACCCACCACCCAGTGCGCCCCACCAATTTGACCGAACATTTGCCTGTAATTGCCTATTAGTTTTCATTTGTTGATTTGGTTTTGCCTGCACGTGAACCCATAGGTACCCCTTCTGAATTTCGGTTTCGCCTTAGTTTGGTTCTCGGTTTATTGATTTGGCCTATGTACATATGTACATATGTAGTCCATAAGCTAATGGCCAAGTCTTGCCATCCGATCAATGAGGGTTAATAGTCTGCCTTCCAAGTGGGCGGGGGGTCAGAGTTCATTGGGCTCGGATCACTTGGGCCTCTCACCAACTTCTCTATGCAAATATGCGAGTACATTGCTTGAATATTCATTTTCAGTGCTTGCGTTGAATTGGACACAGTTTTTTGCAAATTCCCCTGCTCTCCTATTATTAAATGCCAACTCTTTTGATGCTTTTGGCCAAAAAGCCACGGAGCAGCGGCCAAATTGAAGCATTAACATTTGGATTGTTCGGAATTTTGTTTTATGTCGTCTTTCGCCCATTTTGCAAGCATCCATTTCAATTTCTTCATGTCGGCCATTCTGAATTACATTTTTTGTGCTTGCCAGTTCGTTCAACTTGGCCCAAATATTTCATATTGCGATATTTTTGGGGGCATTGTTAAGGGTTCACCCACCACCCACCAGCCGCCTGCCACCTTCATTTTCCGCGAAACTCGAGCACTCAATGTGCGAATGGGGCATGTGCACAGCTAGGAAGTCGAAATCAAGAGTGGCATCATTATTCATCTGCCGCCAATCTGCAGCTTGGCAAATTGGCTGCCAAAAATGCGAAAAATAATTAGACATCACGGCTGGCAAAGTACAAAAATAATGCGTACACCGAAAGAAACTCCAGGCGCTGTTCAGATATATATAGCCAATTTTAATAGTTTACTAGTCAATCAGTTTTGATCTGTGTAAATTTTCGAGTTGGTTATGATTTTCAAAATGGGCTCGCATTTTTATGCTCAGTGGGGCCGAGAAGCAAATGAGCAGGGAAATCGCACAAGGCCTCGAAGATTTTCCCTTGGCAGCAGCGCTTTTCTCGGCCGCGCCCACAATTTTCCCCGCCCTTTTCGCCTCAAGTACTTGCGCATTTTTCATTTCTGTCTGCCTTTTGTCTGTGTTGCTGCACTTTTTGTTGCTAGTGTATTTTGGTGGTGGTGGGGGCATTTGTTATGTGTTAGTTGGCAACTGATTAATTGGGCCCCCCTCCCTCTGCGCCCAGCCCCTTCTGACCCTGCCCCCGATTTTGATTCGTTATGAGTTCGCATTATGCGTTTATTTTTCTTGCAACTATTGAGTTCGCCAAGAAGAAGAACGCGCGGCGTTGAAAACTATGCCGCCACTAATTGGCAAAGTGAAAGGGGAAAAGTGAAAAACCGAAAATCGGAAAATATGCTAGGCGGCAAAATGTTTGCGTTGGCAATCGAAGCACGTTTGCCATTAAAATTTCATTTTTGAGATTTAACCTGTTGGTTTTTCGCATGGCAAATGAATAATTCATGCCAATTCTGCCACTTAATGGATGCTATTTTTCTTTTTGATTTCGATTTATCAGTGTTTTATGTGGTACCACAGCAAACACTTGACTAACAAATATGCTGAAAAACAATCAATAACAAATCAGCTTGATTTTCATGTCGAATTTTATTCAGTGCTTTAGGGCTTACGAGCTATCACAATATTTGCTATAAAAATCCTATAAAAAGTCCTGGCCTTTGCAGCTAAACCTTGACCAAACGCTCGCGGCGCTGGGCAAAGTGGAAGCCGCCGTAGTAATCCTCCAGATCGCGAAGATCCCGCTGGAACTGGGCGTCCAGCCTGGCCTGCTCGGCCCTCTGGCGGGCGGATGGGCGGCGCACGGGGGCGTGGCTGCGCAGACTGAGGCGGCGGCGGACTTTCTGGCCACCCACCATGTCGTAGAGCGGGGACTCCGGCGAGCTGGAGTCCGCCGCCAGCAGGCACCTCTTGGCATCCGTGTGGGAGGGGAAGCCGCGGGGCGTGGTCTGGCCGGCCATGGCTTCGCTGGCGTCATGGAGACGCGGCTGTCTCTGGGCCAGATGCTCGAAGCTGCACTTCCATTGGGCGTAGCGGCGATCGGCCAGACTGGAGGCCTTGGACTTCTTGGTGGTGGGCGTCAGCAGGGTGCCGCAGGAGCCGAAGGACGAGCAGCGGGGCATGGGTCGCAGGAGTTGCTTGGAGCGCTTGCTCAGGCGCCTTTGTTTCCTGGCCGAGATGCTCAGTTTGCGCAGGACGAGTCTCTGGATTTTGCTCAAGAAGCCGGGCAGGGGAGTGCAGAAGATGCCAGGATTCGCAGTACAGGTAGTGTCCTCAACGCTCTTTGCCCCTTCAGTGGATTGTGTGCTGCCCATTTTGAGTTATTTTTTTAGAGTCTGGGCAAGTTTGTTAGCTAGTATATTAACTATGCGATGCGAGTGGCGTAAGTGTTGTTGGACAACTGATGCTGATTGCCACCGAGCGGCGGGCATTTATAGCCAGGAGCTGCAGCTACCTGGCACCCTAATAGGGATCAGGTCTTATTCGCTACCCGCGCGACCTTCATAAAGTGCTAACCCCTAGCCCTGACCATAATCCCCTCTGTTTTGCATAGTTTTATGAGGCGACATTTGGCCACGATTTCGGGGTTTTGCAAGAGTCGCGATTCCGTTTTATTGCCCCTTGCAATCCCCGCACGTGCAAGGGAGCTTGGGCTGCGATGGGTTAACTCGAGGGTCGACATGGGTTAACTTGAGGATGAGGCAGGCATTTAATGGCCTGTCAGTTGCCGTCGCCTGCTGCTCGCTGGCCAGGATAGCCAGCGTCCTCGGGACATAATTGCCGCCCTAAGGAGCTGGTTAGTGGGCGGCTGCAGCTGCGCGGGAACTGCTCCTTGGAGCGATGGTGGTGGTGGAGCCACTTAAGACTTGGCTGTCAGCCGGGGAGGAAATTCCAAATGAATTGCAGCAAAGCCATAAAGGCAGTGCACGGCAAAAAAAACCAGTAATAACAGTAATTGTGCAACTTGCAACACTGGTTGCAAGTGATTAAGAATTAAAGTGGTTTTAGAATTAAAGAGTGTAGAGCTTGCAGTTCCACATATTAAGGCAAATTGCATTTGGATACAGCAAAGGGCTTCCCCTTGATTTCTCCCTGTGCATTTGAGATGGGGCGTGGCAGATGGGCGGACCGTAGGTGATGGCAAAGGGTCCAGGTTCGAGGTCCATGGTTAAGCATCCCAGCAGAATGCTCGCTTTGTGTGTCAATCAGTCTTTGCATGTCGGCAGTGCCTTCATCAATTTTCCCTCTGTCTTTGTGCATGTGTGTGTGTGTGGGTGTGTGGGTGTGTGGGTGTGAGTGTGTGTGGGTTGGGTGGTGTAGGTGGCCGTGTGTGCGTGTATAAGTAATTGCGTGGGTGATGACATAAGCGGCTTAGCCTTCATTATTAGTGGACATATGTAGTGCGGGCCAGAGAAAATAATTAAGCCCAATTATAATGCACAGTTACACTGTACGAAAATCAATATAGTAGTATAAATGGCAGCACAACGCATCTGTAAAATATTCCAAGCGGCTGAACAAGCATTTCTGTGCCATTAATTGGGTTGCCCCTGAATTGCCACTCATTTTGCAGCATCAATGCAACCTCTAATTGTATTCAAATTTGAACACAAAATACCTCCACTTGCGCGCTGTTTTGCTCTGGAAAATACGAGGCCAAAGGAGAAAGGTCATTGTTGGGGAATGGCGAATGCGGCTTGTGGCCACTAGTGTCTATTTTCCGCTTTTCGGAGGAACAAAGAGCGATGCAAGCGAAACACTGAAAATTCATTTGAAAATTCCCGGCAGTAGCTCGAATAGAATGGGTATACCAGTTGGGTATACTCTACCTTCATATTCATAACAGTCACTAACCCCAAATACATTTTTAAATTAAAAATAAATATGTTTTTGTTCAAATATTGTTTTTTCTTAAATACTAATCGATTGCATTTGAGATTGTAAGGTTAAGCAGAGCATATGCAAGTTGCCATGGCAGCGATAAAGTTAATTCCCAGTGCGCCAAAACGACGCAAAGAGCATTTCATTGTCAACTGCAGTTGGAATGGAAATCTATGGAGGTCAGGCGGACTGAAATTTGCGGCTTGTGGGGTCCAAGTGCCCCGACAGGATTCACCTTTAAAAACGGAATTCCAGAGGAGCATTCGATTCCTCTGGGGTTACAGAAAATTCCATTTATTTGCAGTCATTTGTTAAGTGTCCAATAAAATGGGAAACAAACTACAACTGCAGCACGTACATTTGTTTATTTGCTAGCAAGGATACGTATATTTTTGAGTAACTGCCACCACAGCCCGTGTAATTGCACATTTTGTGGCGGGCATTTAATTAATGTCCTTCCGCAAATTACGCATTTTTAAATAAATTATTGATTCGCCTTTTTCGGTGTCAGTGTCAAAGGCCAGTGACAAATTGAATTTGCAGTTTTCAATAAAGCGCGCCATCAGAGTTATCCCCCATTGGATTTTCCACGGCTCGCGCAATTCAATTCATTTCAATTCCTACCTGGCTGCATTTGAAAATGGCTTTTACGACCTGGCCAACACGTTTGCATACCATAAAAATGGCAGCAAACAAAATGAGTAAATGGAAAAATGGCATAAAAATCGTACTTTTTTATTTAACCCCTTCAGGGCATAAAAATGCATCTGGGAATATTTCCTAACCCTTTCTATTTTCAAATGTGTATTTCCCGCATGCAAATCAAGCGTTTTCCCTTTTGCGCTGCACATACCAAAGGACAAAAGCGGTGTGTCCTGCAAAACATTTTCCTGTGTGTCACGCACTGAGGTGTCATCGAATTCCCCGGGGATAGGAAGGATAGAATAGAATACGTTTACCGAGGGTTGGGCCAAATGGAAAATGGCAATAAAGGTTAGTCCCCAAGCTGACAAAGCGCATTTCGCCAAAGTTTGGCATTCGAAATTGAGATAAAGCAGCGCGAATCAAAGTTCAAGCTGCTCCAGGTGTCTAACTTTTTGGGTCCTTATTTATTTCATAGGGCAGCAATATTATTGATTTATATTTAAGGTATTACTAGCTGTATAGATTGGATTGTACTGCACAAGAATTCGTTCGAATAAGTTGTAGTTAACCCTTTAGAGTTGAGTTTCCGAATTCAAATGGGAAAAGCCTCTCATCTGCCACAAAATCAATCTCACTCGATCATCCTCGGCCCTGGGTGGATTACAAAGTTTACACAAGGCAAGTGTAAGCCAAAGTTAATAACACTTATATACTCAATCACCCACACACACACACACACACACACCGGACACCATCAACCAGTTAACTTGGTCGGCTGTAAGTTAGTGGGCCTACAGAAAACCCATTTGGGATGACCACAAATCTTCGCTGAGCGAAACGCGGAAGAGCAAAACAAAAATGGATGGAGTCATAAGGATAAGGGCAAGGACATGGTGTGTGTGAGGGTTAAGGACAAATCAGGCATCAATAGCAATCAATCAATTTGCGGGCCAACAAACAAATTGACCAGAAACCGAAAAAAAGATTGCGAGCCAAGCAAACACAGTCACTGCCAAAAGTTAACAGCATCTAATGTGATTTTGACACACTCCGCACATGAAAATGGAGGCGCACACTGTTTTGACATTCTTTTGTTTACAATTTTTCCCTTGGCCCCCAATTTCCACCCGATATCATTAGTTATTACAGCATTAGATACCCTGTGGTTAAGCGAAAGGTTTAGGTACTTAAACAGATTAGATGAATGTTTTGTGAGGTCATAGTCTTCTACTTCCAAATGCACTCTGTGATATTGGCTTACTTTGACTGCACTATAGAATCATTTTTCAGTGCTGATAAGCAAAATCCCATCAATCCTGTAATGGGTAACTCGGTGGTCACCCAGATTGTAAACATAATTGAGTTTGTTTGAGCACCAAAATAAAAGAGAAACGAGGAATGTGTTTTCTGTTTGTTTTACTTGGCTTTCAATTTCGATGGTGGCAACCCTGCTGCCAGCTCCAATCAAGGGAACTATCCATCAGTGAACGATGGCCATGTCCATTCCCCATTCCCCATTCCCCAACTCCCCAAACCCCCAATTCTCCACACGGAGTTTTGATGCTGCCACTGGCACGCATCGAATTCCCTGCTCCTGTGCCCACACCCCACTGATTTTCTTTTACACACATGGGGGAAATCAATAAAAAAAGGAAAGCTTGCTTTCATATGTCGAATTTTTACTTACTCTTGGTGGCCTTATAATTTTTTTTTTATTATTATAAAGCGACGAATATGTACATGCAGTACTAGTACCATAACATTGCCATTAAACATATAAGTCTCTCTGAGTTTTCCGTAATATATTTCATATAAGTAATATAGTTTATGTCCTCAGTTTTTGCTGCCCCTTATAAGTAGGCAACGAACTTGCTCACGTCCTTTAACTGAACATAACACCTTCATTTTCTGTTGCATACTTTTGGGATCTCACATCTTGTATCTCACATCTTGGGATACTGAAGATACATTGTTTTGAAATAAGATGATGATGGTGTCTTTTTGTGGCAACCAACCAAAGTTATCATATCATCAGACTCACCTAAATATCAAAGTCGTACAACTTTGCGCATTTTGGGTTCCTTTTATGCGACATGCGACTTGTATCGAAATTTTAATACCCTGTGATAAAGTGTACACTGTGAGCCTAAAACCGGAGCTCTGAATGTGACATCCTCGCCGAGTTGGACGGTCCATAAATTCATCAGCGCCTCTAAATGGCTTAAATGTGGCTTAGATGGCCACAGCTGTTTGGTGGCTAGCTGGCTGGCTGGCTGGCATTAAAACCGCAAGATGTCCTAATCCCGCCGATGGATTTACTAGGATTTAACCACGCCCACCGCCCGCTCTCCATCTACCCCGCCCCTCCCCACCCCACCCCGCCACGGAATCCCTAATCTGGCCACTTGATCCCTACGCACACAAGGAGTGTAAGGTATGTACGGTTGGGCAGATCCGCGTTAATCTTCGACCAGATTTCACACCGCAGAGCACGCGCCTTGCGGGGGGAGGGGTTAAGGGGTTGCCGATTAGGCAAATCTTCTGAGGATTTCAATTCCATGGATTCAATGGATTCAATGGATTCAGTAGACTAGCAGACTAGTAACACGCAACGCGAGCAATCCTCAATTGTGGCCAGATTGTAATTAGAGCGGATTGCGCTGCCAGCGGCTCATACCTAAAAGGGCCTAAGATCACAAATCTGGGCCATCGGATCGGGCAGCATTGTGCATACTGTGCTGAGGTCCTGCCGCAGGACCAACCACTTCAGTTTTGCTCCTGTTCAGCCTCGCGCCTCTTGTTTTTCCGTACCACTTTGCTTTGTCCGCCACTCGACGAGGCTCAAGTGCCGCGTTGGAGTCAGCCAAACACTTGCGGCTGTCAAACGGCAGCAAAGTCCCTTGGCTTCCTCCGCACCTCGTCCATGTCCTTGTCCCAGGACACACGGTAAGTAAAGTGGCTGAAAACCGTACATTTTCACTGATAAGATTCGTGCAATGCAGGCGGCACTTGCAAATTCAACTATTGAGATTCAATTGAAGATCTAGGCATGCAAAGATAGTTTAGACAAATTTAGTTTTCAACAAATAGCAAGCTTATGTAATAGAAAACTCCCATACGCCCAGTCGCAGCATAAAGTTTTACAAGGAAAACTTTGTGTGCCAATATTGATGTGTTTTCTTTCGGTGCCAGTCTAGTGGCTCTTAAATTATGCATACGCCCGGTCCGGCCCGGAATAGTTTGAATTAACCCGGATATTTTGCTCGTCCTCCTCCACGTGCTAGCATGCTAACAGTTTGACACTTTAAAGTTTTTGCCCCTGTAGTTGGAGAAGTTCATGGGGGAGAATCGTCAGGAATTGTGCCAGGTTCCAGGGTCAATGTCGGCTTGAATATTTCATGGACTTGGGCAGGACAGAGGTTAACTCACAATGGGTCCGATTTAATGGGTGGAAAAAGGTGTGCGGAAGTGACTGGCAAATGGTGGTCTAGAAGAGGATTTGGCCATTTCATGTTTTAGTTTAACTGCTCATTATCATTTGCTGAGGGATTCATTTTCGCGTTTTTGCTCACATTTTATGATGGTCTCGCAATGAATTCATAGCTTGGCAAGAATATAATACATTATTTCAATTTTCCACACTATAGAACGACGCTCTCATCTCCATTTTATTTCTTTGCAGTTTCCTTGCCCATAAATTCCCTATGAAATAGCGCCATTTACTATTTATTATTCCGCCAGATGGGCGGAGCGAAAAAGATGGAAAATGGAACAGTCCCTGGAGCGAGGTTCTGTTTTTTTGGCTTCACTTGTTCTTTATGGCAGCCAGCAGGCCAAGAGGAAAAACTTAATAATTCTACATCACTTTTATGTGCAGCTCATGAAAGTCGGGCGGCGCAAAAGTTGCTGCATTAAATAAAGAAAATTGTAACACATCAACGCGGCTTTAATTTCGACCCTGTTCTTTATTCTCGAACTGCAAAGCTTTCCACATTTTCCTACATACTCGTATGTATCTTGTGCGATGTGAAAAGTTTTGGAGTGGGTGAAAAAGTGTGGCAATAGTCAACGTGGCACTTACTGGCCAACCTTTTCGCCTTGCAATTAGGTGCAACGCCGGTGTGCCCCTCTCTTTTGCCTGACATATAGCGCTCTCTTTCCCCTGCCATATACCCCTCTCTGTTGCCGCGTAAAATTATTTAGTGCACAGTGGTCGAAGGCATTGATTGAATGATTGAATGGCTGACTGATTGCTGCAACAATTGAGAGTCCGCACCAATTATAGCAACTCACCGATGCGAACCCAACTACTTGAGTAACCCAGCAGTCCGTCTCTCTCACCCGCCACTTTACACATTGCTGCCATCTCATTCCTTTGTCAAGGGGCCAAAGGAGCGGGAAATATGTCAGGAAAATGCGAGGACCTCAGGTGCGCCGAGGGGGGCAGGGGATAAACTTAAGTGGGCACCCGGACACTTGACAAGCCACTAAAATCGATACTGCCCACCGACACCCTGTAAACAAGGCAGGGTAGTCGGATTTCCAGCATTGGCTTCCAGTGATTGGGCACAAAATGACCCAGAACTGCCTACTTAGCTGTAAAATTACGAGAACATTCAATTGAAATACATTTCGCGATAGCTAGCATTTATAATTGAACCACATAACATATTCCCAGCCAACCGGCTACACAAATTAAAAATGCAAACAGCCAAATATTCGCAAAACCGCATATCGTAATCCATATTCGCTTATCTCTGGCTTCGTTCTATAATTTTCCATTTCAATTTAGATTGGCTTTAGTCGGCCTGCGCTAATTAATGCACATTTATCCGCGTAATTACGCGCGGCGTGCTACCAATTCTTTGCATCGATTTGAATATGAAATGAGCCCCAAAACTTCGGCTTTTCGCCATTCTGCGGACAGCCTTCTCTGCGGTTTGTGGCGGCTGTTGAATTTCGAATCATCAAAGCCCAATTAAAACATTTTGTGGCCGGCAATCAGTTAATGCGCTGCGATGAAAGTTCTGCAAACACGACGCTTGGCGAAAGCAAATATTACATTTTCATGAGCAAAGCATCCGACATTTTATTGGGAAATTCATCCTGATTAATATCAGTATTTTATGAAAATTGTCTGTAATTTATGTTGGCTTTGCACTTTGTCTAATCAAGTATTTTTTGCAGGAATTTTTCTACATTTAATTACTGGCAACTGGTTGCTCTTTGGGAAAATGGCTTTGCCGCCTCTAATTAGTTTGATTGAAAAGTCAATAGCTTAGAGTTTGTCAAATATATTTGCGAGCATAATTTGATTATCCAACAACGTACACATCGTTGATTGTCCTGTCCTTAAGTCTAGGTTGTATGATATACAGTCAAAAAAAAGGTGCATATTTGTAAAATCGCTTGGGCCGAATTGCCATTGCTGGGCAATGCAATCGAGCGGGCTTGTAATTAATATTTGTCCAACTGTTTGACAGCTGGCACACCTGTTGCCAGTCCTCGCCGGGATTCCACGAATCGGCAAACCATTCCGAACCAGGCGGAGATGGAGCGATTGGATGGGTCGTCTCACAGATCTGTGGATATGGTGTGCGTGTGCCCGGCCAGCAGCTGGTAGGTGGTGTACAGGGGCTCCTCCAGTGGTTCCTTCTCGAGATCCACCTTGAACCGCTTGGCCGCACTCTCCATCTCCTCCAGGTCGCTGAAGCCCGGAAAGCTGACGGGGCAAAAGTGGCCGGCAATGGCCTCCGGAATGTGGGTGACATTGTGCAGCATGTGCGCCGGTGTCGATTGCAGATAGTTCCTCCACTTCTGGTACGAAGAGGCAGGCATCTGACCATTATCCCTTCGGTGGCAAATCGGCGACGAGGTCTTGGGCATTATGCGCTGCGCCTGCTGCATCATGTACATCTCCCACTCCAGGTTGCCCACCATTTGGCTGGCTTCTGTGGATTCGCGGGAGGACGCACTCATGTCCTGTGTGCGCATAAGCACTCCATCCTCCTCGTCGTGCTCCTGGCCCTTGCGCGGCGACGAATTGGCGCTGCTGCAGGTGTAGTAACCGCAGGATCTGTCCAGTTGGGGCTGCTCTGCGAAATCATCGCAAATTGGCTGGCTGGCGCGGCTCCAGATGCTGCGGCTCGAGGATGGGAAGCTGCTGCTCCCGCTGCTGCTGCCCACTCCGCTGCTGTTTCGACTGCTGTACAAGCGCTTCTGGGAGCGACTGGACCCGGATGCTCCAGATGCCAGATAGATGCTGCTGTTCAGGCTGCTCAGCTCCTTGAGCTTCAGATTGCTCGCACAACAACCCATGCTTTCGGCTTGTCTCAATATGGGTACAGTGAACTCTGGTAAGATGTTACTCGCTTGACAATTGCTTGTCAACTGTTCTGCATGGCCATAAACCGGCGGGCTTTTATATGTCCGGCAGGTAGAGCCGCGAACTCTGGGTTCCTGGAATCACCCGTACTGCATGCGCTACCTGATTAGTTTTTCAGATATTTTCAGATTTTCTGGCCTAATCCGCGAACGGGATTTCATGAAATCGCGTATTTTATGGCGTACTTTATGGCCCGGCAATTTGGCCAAAAACACGGCGAGTGCGAGAGTGCGAGGGTACCTGAGATCCTGCTCAAAACGTCCTTGATTCGAGCACTTTCGATCTGGCCAACGAGTTAAGGTTGGCCAGTCGTAATGCCTACTGTTGCTGTTTCGTATCTTCTTATTTCAAATATTTTCCTGGCCATAACCCTTTTCGGTTTTATCAGCCTTTTCATTTGCAGAACTATGAGTTATGGCTGCAGTTATATGGCTGATGTACCGACAGCCATGATTTCAGTCATCTTGGTCGTCCTTGGTGTCCTTGGGCCATTGTGTTGGCCGCATCCTTGGTCCTGGCCATGGCCAATTGTTGTGTAAACGCCGTGGCGCAGTCCTCGGAACGCCGTTGACGCCGGCCACAAGTCTCGAATCCGCGGGACATGGAACCTTTTCCCGACCGAATCAAAAACCAGAAATGCCACACAGCTGCACCGACTGCGATCTATTTCGAAAGAAAACTCCTCAATGGAACGGCTCTCCCATTCTTGGCCTCTACGTATTACTCAAGGCCAACAGAAAGCGAATTTGGCATCTGGATGCAAGTGAATATCGACATGGGCAAAATGGAGAATGAAGATTGGGAAAGTATTTCGCACTTCAATGAAGCGCTGGCGATGAATGGCCCTTGGGATTCCAAGTGGGGCTTAAATAGCATTTTCTTTTATACAAACGGATCGCAAAGCTACTTCGGCGAGTTAAAAGTGCTCAACCTTCCTTGACTACTCGTAGTATTCCTAAACTAGACTGAAATTGCACTCAATTGCACTTGAGCAATCAAATTAGTGAATTTGTGGTTTGAACGTAATGTAATAACTACAGACATTTGTTTGCCTAATTTATAATTAAAGCACTGATGCATTTTATCCAGCTTTCTTATGCTTGTGATCTTTATGCAAATTTCAGATAGCCAGACCCAGCCAGGCTAAGACCATGAACACGTGGGATCTGAAACTAGGATACCCTATCTGAGAGCTCGTGCCCCTATGTTATGTGCTTATGTCCTTGTGTACAACGGAATGCAACTGCAGTGGCACGTGATAATCGGTGCCTCCTTTGGGGTCCGTTTGCCCATGGCACTTCTAACAACCTACGGGTTCTGCTTTCGGTTTTAAGGGGAAACAAACTTGGCTTTTGTTTCGGACCAACTGAGCAACTGGCCAACCTCAGGCCTCATTTGACTATCGCACATTTGGTGTTTGCTGTTTTGGTTTCTTGTTGCATTTTCACACGCAATCGCTGAAATTCCCGCATTTTTGGGCTGGGAAAACGCTCAGCGGAATTTCCTCGCCTTTCCCCTATTTTCCTTGACGGAGTTTCCCGCTCTCCGTCTGTTTGGCTTGCACGGCTTGCTTGGCGAATTTGATCCGTATCCTGCATCGAAATATGCATTTGCATCCACAATCATATCCACATTCACATCCGCACTCGTATCCGCACTCGCATCCGCACTTGGCAGTCACGTAATTCGGGCATTTGTTCGCTGCACGTGACGCTTCTCCATTTTGGTAGGTCTCCATGTTCGATGCCAGAGCGGAAACGGAAGTCGAAGAGCTCCAAGTGACCCAAGAATACAGTGAGCGCTGTGCCTTAGAACAAGAGGGAAAATCTGGTGTACTTTGGTCCACTAAAGTGAACAAAGTCAACTATAAAATCTGGAAAAATACACATTTAACATTGTTACATAAGTCACTTCTATTCACCAAATATAGGTATTCTATTCTCTCTGTGTGTGGCATGTGATTTGCCCCTAGCTTCGACTCAGTTGGGCTTGGGAAAATGGCATCTGTGGAGTTGCTAGTAGCGCCCGGAAACAGCTTGAAGAGCATGTAGTAGATGAAGGATACAGATACAGATACAGATACTCGAATGATACAGGGAACCCGAAATTGGGAAAAGGCACGTATGGGAAATGACCCTTGACAATTTAGCTAAGTAAGATGCAAAACAAACTTACGACTTGCTCATTGCCTTTGCATGTGTAGTTTACTCAAGTGCCAGCTCTCATTTTCGTGATGTATTTTCCTTGAGCGAAGTATCTGTACTTGTGCCTTTAACTTATATAATAAAATGGGTTGAAATTCCTTCCTTCACCACCTGCTTGAGGCACTCACATGGGAAACACTTGCCGAAAGTAGCATATTTTAAACTGTAGAGCTCTTAATCCATCCGATACAGTGCATCAATCGTGTATGCAGAGTGCGCAGTTTATTTGCTTCAAAGGCGCAATCGTATCGAGGTTGAGATTCCAAGCATTTGGACAAAATCGCAAGTTTGTTGCTGAAATCAAAGTAATCCATGTCCTGTCGTCCGCAGTGCCCAGCTCCATTGAAAGCTAGTTCGACTTATCCAGTTGACTTGCCATTAAATGCGAACTGACTGGATGCACAGGATGCACAGGATTCCGCACGAAGCCCCTAGGAAATTTCACGAAATTGAAATGCCATTGGCACAATGATTTCGGAGGGGATAAACCGAACTGGGGTGAAAATGGGGGACATTGTAAAATAAAATAAGATGGAACAGCAGGAACAGCATAAAAGTTGAAGCTTAATCAAGTGCTTTTCCATTTGCTACTTTTCCAACTGCCAGCAGTTTACCATTCAAATTATGCTGATGCTCATCTATTTGTTATTTTCCAACATTATGGTTTACTTTATGTGTTGTGAAGTGCTTCAAGGATCCCTTCATTGTTTTCGGCTCAACAACAACAACGTACCTGTTGCAACAGCTAAAAAGTAGACGTGCTATAAAATCCAATGTGGCCCCGATTTTTTCCGGCGTACTGAACGAAGTTGAATGCAACTTTTTGGCACAAGTGCAAGCCAAGCAATTGTCCTGGAATCCGACTCGGTTTTTTTATTGAGGCAGCTGGGCAGGGAGTGAAAAAAACAGCCAAGGATGGGAGGGCCAAGACAATGGCAAGGACATGACCGTTTCCAGGACTCTCGCGGTCGCAGGACATCTGCGATCAGGAGCATCAATGCAATTTCTGTTAATCATTTTCAGTTTTTCCCTCTTTTTACTTTCTGGTGACAACAAACAAGCAAACAGCAAAAAACACAACACAACAAATCATAAACGAGGGAGGAGGGAGGCAGGAAAATTGGGAGGGATGTGAGAATGTGAAAGTGGAAATGAGAATGGAGGCCGCATTTTGTTTACAAAATGCATTTTCCGTGTATCGTCGGCAACTCCTTGGCCACGGCCATAAAGCCATAAACCGTACCGCGTGCTAAGGCCCAGATCGGGCAGGTAGATATCGCATGGATATAGATATGTGTAGATGCAGATACAGATACAGATCCTGAGGACGGACACTCGTACCTCGATGATGATGATGATTCGAGCAGCGCACTTGTTGAAGCCGCGACAGGGTCAAGTTAAGTCGCGCACCAAAATCGCTGGGCGCTCGGAAAGGCCCACCGATGTGCCATCGTGTCCTGGTTGGTATTTCCGCATCCTGTTTGGGAATTTCTTGACGCACTGAGCCGGGGGAAATACAGTGAAAACATCTCTCACTGGACATCCAACGAACGATCCACATGTGTTCCGCAAATGGGCGAGGCTACTTAGGCTCTAATTTCGACAATCACCGATCACCTGATGCCATCGCAGCTGGGTCCTGGATTTGCCCAGGATAATTTGGCCAGAGGACCAGGTGCTCGCGAGTCCTTGACCGCGAGAAGTCGACAAGTTTAGGTCGGCCGTGCAGGTGAATTTGGCAAATAAACCGGCATGAAGTACAGTACCACATTGTGCACATAGTTGCAGACTGAAATCTTTACCAAATCAGAGGAAATTTTATAGTTAATCATGAACCAAAATCTCATAAAGTGAAAAGAAACTACACAAAGCAAACTACGCTCTTCAGCTGTATCTGTATTCAACTACACTCAGAAAAAGACATAGTGCGCTTTATGGGCTCGTAAGTGATAGCTGCAAGGCCCTCCACTAAGTACATCACTTAAGTACAGTTGTGCTCGAATGCCCAAATGCTTCTATGACCGAGAGTGCCCCCAACAATTAGGCGTTCCCCATTTATCCGCCACGCCCCCGCCTTTTGGACTCTGGTTTTACGATGGCCACTTTACGTGCCCATCGCAGTTTTGTTCCTTTTGGCCAGGTTTAAAGTGATTTTGTTGGCCGCCAGAAGAAGGACGCGCTAAGTACTCCATTTCACATCGAAATCCTGGCCAGTTCCCTCTTAGAATTCCTCATCGGGGCTAAGTGGAGCGCCCTTTTGGGGCATGCAACATATTTATATAATAAATGGCAATGAAATGCGTGTAATAGTTTGCAAAGAATGTTTTACAAAGTGCTCGCCTGATGAAGTACTAATAGGTGGGACAAGGACGATGGCATCCCAACTCGGCAACGAGTCCTGCGAATCCTGCCTCATTCCTGGTGAATGGTTTCCCTTTGAGCTTGGAAAAGTCCCTACATGCGTCACATTGGGGCGCATTCCAGGTGAGTTTGTGGCACTTTGGTAAGCGGCTTTGCCCACTACACATGCCACTCCCCCGCCGCCCAGTTCCGCCCCTTCGATTTCGAGTTTCTCGGGAACTCGGAAAATTGGTAAGACGGAAAATCGGAAGCTCGGGAACTTGCGTAGGAAGGGCTGACATCTTGTGCCGCCGTAATCGTAGAAAATCAATAGCATTCCCCCTTTTTGTAATTGTGTTTGTGTTCCGATTGTCGCGCTGCGACATCATACCCCTCGTTTTTCTCCGTGTATCCTTGCCATTGTGTCTGCCCGTGTTTTCTTATGAATTATTGAATGGCTTACGGAGTTTTTCTCCGCTTGATGTTTATTTACATTTGTAATCCGGCTTCCTTCCTTTTTCGGTTGCGCCGCTTTTCACAAAAGTTTTGCGGGCAAAACTTTGGCCTGTCCTGGTTGCGTTTTGCATCTGGAAAAGTCTACGAGCTGCTGATGCGACCCATGTACAGATGCGTAATGTTACACTAAGTACGAGACGAGTTCCACTTAATTTTCCTCGAAGTATTTACGTTACAATTAAGCTTTATTCATGACATAGATAAATTGAGCCTTTAGAGGCTCATTTTTCTGGCTGGCTAAGTATATGCAAATAGTGTTTTTCTTTGTCTCGAGTGCTTCCACATTTAATTGGCTGCAGACACATTGCTCATCTGTCCAGCTGAAACTAAAATCCCACTGAGTGCTGGTGAGTCACAAATTGCGCAAAATGCTTTTGTTAATTGCCGGCTGCGTACTTATTCGTCCTTTTTCTCATCCTTGATCCTTGTCCCTTGGCTACTGATTAAAATTGCATTGCTCCGTTGTTTCTGTGTGTTGTTTGTTTACTCTAATGAGCATTTAATGGCCAATTCCAAACTGGTTAGTTTGGAAAAGCGAAAGCAAGCGAGAGAGAGAGAGCATCGGAAAACTGAGAGGATGGAAAATTCTGATTGCGCTTACCTGCAGCGATTTTTCCTTCCGGTTTTGCACTTCACCCTTTTCCCTAATTTGATTTTTATTACACTTTTCCCAGTTCATTTCAATGTCCGTTGTTTTTTTCCTGTCGCCTTTCATTCATAAATTACGGGGAAATTCTGCAGATAGTAAGGCTGCTTTCCCTCGCTCTCTTCGCCGGAAAATCGCCTCCTTTTATGGCACATCCTTTGTACCGATCCCTGCGGGAATTGCGTATAATTTGCGCATGTTAATTAGCTCATTTCAGCATAGATTTGGGCCCATCGTCGAACACATGTAATTAAGCAAATTAGCCGAGTGAAGCAACTAAATAAATAGTTCATGTCCGCCAGGGGGTGGATGTGCCGGGGGGCTGGCTTTCAAGGTCATTTGCCATGCCCATTGCCCTGAATTCTGGGATACATTTTGCTCGCTGGCTACACTGGCAACAAATCTTGGAGCTCGCTTCGCTCTTAATGAATTTCATGCCTGCTAAAAGATATTGTATCTGCTTATAAGTTGGACTGTGGGCAATTTCCCAAGCCCAACTATGGGCTATATTTTCCTCCGTGTCTTTAGCACTTTGACGAGGATTTCGAGTGGTGTTTGCGGATCCCACCTGCTCGCCGTCTAAGTGTTGGTCTCTGCGGCTGGTTGTGTTGGTTGTGTTGGCTGTGGCGCTTGGCCGCGTGGTTTTGGGCTTCCATTTTGAGAAGGGGCTCTCCTTGGTACATTTATCATTGGAAATCCGAGAGCACACGCATCAACGTCAAGGCCCTTCGCTCCAAGCCACTGTAATGCAGCAAGTAACAACAGGAAGTTGGGTGGATGGAACTTGTGGATCCCAGTGCTGGGATGGTGATCCCAGCCAGAGCGGACCCTCCCAGCTCCTGACCACCCACATTTGCATATGCTGCGGCGTGAGATGTGCACTCGCAGCACTCCAGTCAAAACTTTCAGCGACGTCAGCGTCTGGCAAACTTTTGTATCCTTGGCAGCACCCACACGAACGCAACCCCCAGCCACCAAGTGGAGCAAACCCACCAGCACTTTGGGGCAATCATCTGGGGATAAGCATGGCCATGTACGATCCTTTAAGTGCTCCACAATTGCATTATGGAGGGAATTTCGAAGTGCACGACTTGGCATAATTCCTTGGCTATCAAATCAGTTTGCAGAGTGTTTATTGCATTTTCCTGAAGACGCTGGGGGCGGGGGCGGCGCATTGTGTCCGCTTTTCCGAGCGTGGAATAATATTTTCCACTACATGCCACTCAAGTTGACTTTGCTACGCCTTTCCCTGTTATCAAGCTTCCTAGTTGATTTTCTTTAAAGTTTGCGGTGGCGACTGCTAAAGCTAATTGAATTAAATATGCGAAGTTAGTCACTTACAACATCATTTGCCTTCTAATTGCAGCTGTGCGTCTGGAGGTTTTCGCCGCAGAGGTAACCACAGCAGCGGGTCTTTCAGAAGGTGAGTTCTCCCTGCACTGACCAGCTGCTAATCCGCTTCAATAAATGCCATTTTAACCTCGCAGAATGGGGCTCCGGCTGGCGGGGCACCAATTTCCTCGTGGAGGTCGAGCAGACAGCTCCCATTTCGCCGCCCTCGTCGTCCTCGGCGTCCTCGAATGGCAGCGAGGATTATTTGGGGGAGCTGGGGAGCCAGGAGGTGGACGACGGATTCACAACAGGTGCCACAACTGGAGCCTCCAATGCCACCGCGGTGGAAACAGGTGGGTTGCTCACTCACTTAACTTCCCATTAAAGAGTACACACATTAGGATTTAAAGCGCAACTCCACATAACATCACACATTCAACGCCATGAAAAGTTGTATTTTGAACTGCATCATAAAAGTTGCAGCAGCCAAAACCAATGCCAAACTTTAATTGGCCGAGTTGGAAAATAGTTCGGTCCTGCAACCACGTTTATTGGCCATCAAACAATTTGAAACACTGTATCCCTACTTCTCGTGCATCGCTACCCGTTTGCATCTAGAGAATCCCAGTTTCGGTAATAGCCAATTTCGAATGAGCCTAGATTAGGCACGACTTGGAGGTGTTTCCAGTCGCGGCATAATCATGTTCGAAGGATGTGCGCAACATGCGAGCGTGTATCCCATGGATTTAATTTCCCCTCGCAAATATTGAGTTTTCATGGCACTCGCGCAACTTCAAACACCTGGAAACAAATCCCCGCTGGCGGATTTAGCCCGGTTGCTTAATAAATCCCAATGCCAAATCCCGATTCCTGTGCACCCAACGCAGTCGCAATCCATTTGTTTATCGCGCAGATTTCACGGCGACGCTAATTGAATTCGAGCCCGGCTCCTGAGTTATTTACGTGCGCTACGTGCGACCAGTTTGCAATCCAAGCAAATCCATAAAGCTGGGAGCGCTGTCTGCTTACATGGAAGGTGTACAAATAAACATAACCAAGTGCTCGTTGTTTCGCAGGACCCAAGATCATCGTGCGCACCGAGGAGGTACTGATTGTGGGCCTGGTCCTGGTCCTCTGGGTGGGCGCCATCATGCTCTTCTTCAATCGCTGGGGCAAGATCCGCATGCTGGAGCCCTACCAGCCCAAGTTCCAGCAGCAGCATCGCAGCTCCTGTCCGCTGGTCGACTTGGATGCTGTTACCACGCACCAGGTGAGCTTGACTTTGAATTGAAGTGTGCTTACTTTAATGTATCAGAAAAGCCTGAACATCTACTGATACACTTCTTTTTCAGCGCTCCTCCGTGTCCCGCATGTCGATGGGCATGGTGCACAATCTCAATATGCCGACGTGTCAATTTGCGGCCTATAATCCCAACATTTATGCCAAGGGTATGTACGTCATCTGCTCGCCCACCTCCGCCCGTCCAAAGCAACCCGAATGCAATTAAAATCGAACATCCATCGCGCCACTTGTGCTGCATACTTTTGTGCGTCGCCAGGAGCCGCACAGTGGAGCGAAATGCATGCATATGGAGTACTTTTAGCTGCAAGAAATGCGAGGCGAAGTGATAGTTGTTCCGCTTTTATTTCGACTTAGGTCAACAGCCAAATCAACTCACTTTGTACTTGGCCATGCGCCAAGTGCAGTGGTGAACATATGCAGACATCTGTGGTGCGCAATCCCCTCCAGCTTCGCATGTGCCTTGGTAATCCCTGCAGCAAAGTCGGGGCGAATCGAGATAATTATGCGTAATGTGCGCCATGCGAAGCGTTCGTTAATGGCCACGCCCCCGCCAGCTGGTAAATACAGCATTTAGTTGTAGTCGCTTTCCCGCCCCTTTATCCTTATCTCGATCCTGGCTGTTTTTTTTAATGAGTTGCCAGACAATTAGGTTGCCCGTTGAGCGGAGGCAGCGGAGCGCATGTGAAAGCAAATAACAATACAATTTTAATGCCGCTGCTGGTGGAGCTCCACAACCGCAAGGGCTCCAGATTCGCGAACACCCATCCACATCCACTTCCACATCCACTTTCCCTTCAGAGCTGAGCAATTAAATCCGCGGAAATGCAGGAAACATGCAGGCCCATGACAAGGATGCGCACTTAAAACTGTCAGATAAGAGGGAAAAATAAGAAAGTTAAGGCTAAGTGAATGAACGTTGATTGAGGAAATGTTTATAATGGAAGTATTTCTCAAATTTCAAGATCTGCAGTTCTTAGCAGGCGGTGCGATGGAGAGAAGTTCGAATTTAATTTACTTCAGTTGCAGATTAACCATTTATTTCGGCTGATAATGTGGCTAAATCTGCAGGTTTGGGTCCTCGATTCTATTAGGTTGAGTGGGGCATCCCCAATCGCAATATGAAGATTTTAAGCACCTATTTTGTTGCATTTTTGTATTTATCATGTCTAGTTTTGAGGTGTAAGCAGAACTGCCCGAGTTCATTTAGTTTCTTAAAGTAGGCCTCAAACATTCGCTGGGCAAATCTGCGACCATTCCCTGCCGATGGCTACGGCACCAGGAGCAAGTGTGTGGCCTCCAGCTGCGAGTTACTCCCGGCACTGAACCATTATGCATCATTCTGTGTCCTTCCAGGTTACGTCTCGCATGTTTCGGCGTCGCGTCCCCGCCAGAATTCGGTGTTTGTGGGGGCCAGTACCAGTCACTATCTGATGCCCAGGCCCCCGAGGAAGACCAGGTCGGCGATGGACCTGCACTCGATGGTGCTGGACGAGAGTGCCGAGCAGGTGTAGGATTCCAGGGCATGTCCTGTGGCCAAGGATCCTTGGGAGCGTGTGCTAAGTCAGTCTGTAAGTCGGTGAGGTGTGAGTGCGCGTGTGTGGTCCATTTTCTCTTTGGCCCGAAGTGCAGAAAACATTTGTAGAGGTGCGTGAAAGTATGCCATATATTTTGAGCTTGTCACAGCAAGTTCTTGAGTGGTTCTACAGCTTTCTGATGCACTTCGGTATACTTTTCAGATGTACATCCTACATTCTTAGCTAGCTGCATTACTAAGAACTTTCTATTCTACAGTTGCTACTTTATTTGCTTGCTGTATGAGTGCTACCAAAACTTGCCTTGGTAACAGTACAGCAAACAGTATTCAAAAGGCCAGAAGAGAATGGATTGAGAATGGCGTTTCCTTTGTATTAGAGTGCCTACAATTGAGAGAATTCGGAATGATAGCACTGTCCAACACTGGCAACTATACACGAGCATACTTGCCACTCACAACTAACTCTATTCCATTTCCCAGCTATCTCTGTCGCACACACTTTAGTTTCTGTGCTGGCACAGAGTCAATTTGAGTCAATTTTTTTTGGACCACCTAACACACAAAATGATAAACAAGGAAAGTAATTAAAAACGTACCGAAAATATGTAGAAGTATCTATCTTAGCGTATTCTATTAGCCCTATCCAGTGTTACTCAACGTAGTCCGTATCCTAACCCGATTTTCCTAGCGCGTTTCTCCTACTTCACATTATTGGCTACCAGAGCAAATTGTTAATGATAACATATGTATGTATACACGTTAAGTAAATAAATGTACGAGTACGAGTATCTGCGAAACTGTTTAGTTCGTAAGCCCAAAGCTCAAAATCGGATCAGCATACTCATCAGAACTCCAAACTTGACCAAAGTACCCGTGTTAATATCTTTTCCCAGCACCTCTGTACTGCACTTTAAAATGTATCGTAACTTAAGTAATTTCGACCAACAAAAGCCGGAAAAGTCGCAGATTGGGAGAAGAATGAGGCAGGCGCATATTGGGAGGTGGAGGAGGTGGAAGGAACAACTAACTAACGAAAGCTTTAAATTCCTGGGGTCTCCTGGGGACCCGCAATACCAAAAACCCATCCAGATCGAAGTAAACTAAACCAAAGCTGCGAATTATATTTAAGGCCTATGATAACTACAGACGTGTGTAAGTCTCTACCAAAAGTCTAGTTGAAAATATGCGGATCAATGTACACTTTACCAAAACTAATGGAATATAGCCTCAACTTAAATATAACTCACACACTCAGACAGTTTTTCCCCACAAATCTGAAAGTAAACGAATAAATTGTTGAATATTAATGTTAAATTAACTTGTTTACAATATTTACAAGGGCCTGAGCAAAACCAATTATATATACACTCGTGTAATATATCAAAAACTAAACTATGTATACATCAAATATTTATACATGTACGTATAAAACAAAAGAACAATTATATACATTTTGATGAATTCGATTAAAATTATATTTGAAGCGAAGAATGTCTTTTGAGATATACTAGCCTAAAACTTCTAGTTTGACTGATTCCGATGCAAAAGGAGCCGAATTGAGTCAGGACCCACTCAACGTGCAGATGTCCTTGTTAATGTGTTGGCTAAAATGTTTATGGCAATGGGCGTGCAATAAAGTATAAAGCTATTTGCTTTCGACTCTCAATAATCCGCATTTTTTGCTAGTGAGTGGATGCCCATAAACGGGCAACATTTCGCAGATGTCGTCCCACTTGGCGGTTCGATTGGTTTGGCTTGCTGTTCGGCGCGATTCCAGCGGGGGCTTTTGGCCATAAACACATTTGACAAGGCGGCCAGAACAGACGCGTAAATGGTCAAGAGGGCGGCATGGGCGGGGGGCGTGGCGGTGGGGCCAATAAACGGAAGCCATTTCATGTCTGGCCATCTCGGCCAGCGGGTTCAAGTACGGCTATTTATGATGGCCCAGAGCTGTGCTTTTGGCCATTTGCCGGCCGCTCTTGGCCAAAGTGAGGCCCCTACTTAAGCGAAAAATGCGCTTACTGAATCCTTTGAATGTACGAAGCAGAAAAGACGGGACCACTTCATTTTAATTTAAGTCAGCCAAATCATTAACTTGGCCTGTTGGCCATTTATGTGGACCATTTGGCCAGCACTGGCTGGCCCTTTCAGTGCAACGAATGGAAGGGGAAGGCAGCAGAACGACCTTGTTGCCGCCGCGGGCCACAAATCAAACAACCACCCCGCTGCTCCTCCGTCCAAAGTTCGCAGCTTGCCAGAAACCAAGTGACACACTTTGGGAGGGGCTTTTAAGATTGCGACTACTTGTGCCACTGGAACATGGGCATCTCACACCCCAAACGACTTCATTGAGCTGCAACAATGGAAATTGGACGAGTTATTGCTTCTGCGAATGAGCTCGGAGCTGGAGACTCGGCAACCTCATGTTTGCTGGACTATGCCATCTTGCACAGAAACAAACCATCTAAAAACAATTTCAAGGTTATTAGAGTGTAAAATGATAGTAACGCAAAACGCGTCAACCTGGCAAAGTTGTAGATATTGCTTGCCCTACACGAATTTCAGCAGAGTCAGCGCATAAAATTACTAAACGCAGAAAATATGAACGCATAAAAGAGCCATGAACATTGTTACCACACTCCAAATTTGGCCAAAAGCATAAACTTTCGGCAGCAAAACGTTTAACGACGCAGAGAATCTGCATAACAATGCGAATTAATTTCGGGCACACGACCACATCCACTTGGCAGACCCACTTTGGGGGTCAGGACATGCAAATCTCGGTCGATTGTGTGTCAAAGATTGATTGACATGGCCGTGGAGGCTGCGTACAAATTTAGCCCAAGTGTCTAATCAAAAACGCTCAGCATAATGGTAATTTTTGCGAGTGGGTCGTTTTAGATTTATGGTCTTGTGGGTCAGAACAGCAGCAGATTGTCCTTGTTATTTGGAAACTTCTGGCCTGGAAGAGCGAAACACACTGGCTATTGGAAGGTAATTTTAATTCCGCGGCTAGCATTTAATCTAGCAACCGATTCGGCTGCAAGTTATTTATATTCCCTGGAAAACAATCAGCTTTTCTCTGCGTCTTTCAATTTGCTCGCTGGCGCTTTTTCGTCGTTATCTTTGATTTGTCCACTGAGGGACATTTAAATGGAATTTCATCCGCAGCATCCACGCGTCAGCAGCTGCTGTTGTTGCCGCTGTTGTGGGCACAGCCGCCGGATGCCATCAACGCCCCCAACTCTTGGCAGCGTCTTCGTTTCTGTTGCAAGGACACACACGAAGGCAGGACGCACAGCTATTGCGCACTTGCAATTCCTTTCTCCGGTTTCAGTGCCACTGCCACTGGCATTTCCTCATTTCTCCTTTTTCCCTCGGCAGACGCATAAAATTTTCAGTGCAGCACTCGCTTTTCCCGCTCCGACTTTTCCCGCTTTCCCGGCGACTCCCACATGAGCGATCACTTTAATTGCTGCTGCTTTATTCTGCTGCCGGCGGCCATGAACGCAAATAGGAATTTTGATGCTCCAAAAAAGTGACGGATGGCGGCTGAATATTTAGACTCTGTTGCACTTACTGCGCTTGTGGCATATGCAAAGATAAAATGTGGATATACATATATTTCCTTACCGCACATTTGGATTTTCGGATGCGGATGCTGCAAGCTTTATAAATTAGGTAAAGCGCCGCCTGTTTTGAGCAGCTAAACCTAGCGATCCCCACCAGGCTTTGGATGACTTGGCTAGCTTTAGTTTCTAGACCTTGATTGCAAAAGTTATAGACATTGTCCCCATTATTCAGAGTGCATGAGTTGTTCTTTCTGAGGGCCGCAGCTTAGCTGATCCGTCAGCAAGTTGGCGAATATTTTAAATTTATGCGCAGCGGTTACCCCTTGCCCCCTGCTAATAGTGGACCCACTGCTGTGATGGATGACCTCCTGCCACCGCTGCCAGCATGAGTAATGGCCCAAATGTGAGGCGCCAGGAAGCCAACTAGTGCAAATAAGTGCGATACTTGATTGCCAAAACACGAGCCTTAGTTTTTAGCCAGCCAATTGAGCCCAATGTGATTAATCGTAGCTGCATGTGCAGCTGCAGTCGCTCCGCAAGCCACTAGCTAATCAGTTAGTAGATCCAAGGAAGCCCCAAACTGCGCCCTCCAATTATGTGTGTTGTGACTGGAATTGGACATCCCCCACTTGGCCAGCACAATGTGTGTGCTTTCTCACCATTCCGAGGGGTTTGCTCGCACAGCGAGAAAAAGCGAGCTCGTGGTAGCCCAAGTAGTGTGTGTGGGTGATGAAGCCATCACTTGTTTCGCCCAGTGCATCCATGCTGTGGTGACAAATGCAATAAAGAGCAAAAGCGAGACGCTTTCGTTGACGAGGGTTGGGGATCTGTGGGGGCATACTGTTGCCAGTTTGATTAATGACTACGATTGCCGCGACTGATGGCCAAAACGGGACTTCCGTGGGATGCGGGGGGCTTGCCGGGGGATTCCTTTGACAGTGACCCCGGTTCGGCCATGCCACTTTCATGGCCATGCCACTTTATTATTGCCCGAGAAACTCACATACATACACTTTTACTTTGCTGTCTGTCCAGGCGGCCATAAACCATCGCCATCGCCATCGCCATCGCCATCGTCATCGCAGTCATTTTAAATCAGAGAAAACAATGCCACAGGCGCCGGGAATCAATCAGGGGAGGCGGATAAGGGGGCGTAACCAGAGTGCAGCCCCGCTGTCATCAATGTTTACGACTGGCCATAATGACGGAGCACAGCGAGAAGGAGGAGATTGGCATGGCATAATCAAAAGGACACGCAGCCTCATCAAGTTCTTCGCATGGCTCTTTTCGGGGGCTTCCCCTTTGTTGTTTGCCCGCCATTGTTGTTGCGAACAATGCGTGAAAATAAAATGCCCGATAATGAGTGCGTTACCGAGCCGAAAAGAGTGGCGCTCGCTGACCCAAGATTTGCCAGCCGTGTTATTCCGTGCCATTCATTTCCATGTGCTGACGGCAAATTGTCCAGAAACTCAAAAAGGCAACAAGCCGTTGAAGCCATAAAACGGTCAGCAAACAGCAGAACCTTAAAAGACGCCCCCTCTGTGTTATGAGCACTCATAAAGATGGCAAATTAACTGAAAACCCAAGCATCAAAGGCTTAAGCTGCAGATGCTGACAAGGCCCATTAAATTGTGGAAAATGTGACAGATGATAGCGCGACTATTCTTTTGCACAATCAAACGCATCTCAGCCAATTCGAAATGTGTTTGTTCATTTTTTTTAGCGGGCAATTTTTAAATATACTTGTGGTGCTGCCAGAGTGTGCGTTTCTCCTAATGTTAACTTTACAGACGTGCAGATAACACAAATATGTAGCTTCACAGCTTCATATCGATAACTCAATTTTAGGCTTGTGCTTAACACGCCACCTGTGATCATGTATGGTTACTTTGAACGGGCAAGCAGTTCATTCATAAAAACAAATTGGTTACATTTTAAATTAAAATCGAAGTCTATATTTTTCTTCTCACACTGCAATTCTTTGGCAATGCTCCCGCACAGGTTCTAAGGAACCAAATATGTGGCATTTACAAAAGGCTATGCGTTTGATAGAGTAACAAATGTAGAGGAAGGCGAAAGATATTGTGGATAAATGCGAGGGTGCACCAGGACTTGGTCCTGCCCCCGGGGACTACATGAAGTCATCCGATTCGTTGCCCGCATCGTAGTTGGTGCGCATGTTCTCCGTCTTCTGGAGGGACGCATAGCTGCGAAGCTCCGCCTCCAGCTCCCGCTGCTTGGCGGCCTCCTTCTCCTTCTCGCGGCGCTCGCGCTGCAGCTTCTTCTGATCCTGACGCTCGGCAGCATCGCGCGCCTCGCGCAGTCCCCGAAAATCGGGGTGCTCCTCCTCCGTCTTGGTCCTGTTCAGACGGTTGACAATCTCGTTGATGCGCTTCTCCAAGCGGATGCGATGCACCGCCTTCTCGTTGTGGTAGGATACTTGGCCGGGCGCCATGTCCGGTGTCTTCTTCAGGTTCTCCCACATGGTGTACACCACCTCCAGGTTGTTCACCTTGTTGCCCTGAATGCTGTTGGCCTTGCACAACTGAGCGGCGTCCACCAGCACATCGGTGGGTATGTCGTCGATTGTCTGTCCCTTCTGGAGCCGCAGGTACACGTGGGCAGAGGACAGGTCGTGGACATGGAACCACACGTCCTCCGGCCATCCCCATCTGATCAACTCTTCATTTTCGTGCTTGTCGCGACCCATATAAAGCATCGCCGGCGGCTGGACCACATTGCTCTTGAAGTAGAACACCATTGCGTCAGATCCCAGATCACGAACTGCAAATAGAAGGGTTCAAACTGGCTGCTACTGCATCTGCTCCTCTTAATTCCGGCGAAAGCTGTTTTACCTGATTACCGGGAATAAAATATGTTTTGTTAGGAGGCTTGATTCAAGTCCACCTCTAGTTCAGTGTGACCAGACCACGCCGTGCCCGAAATTACAAATACAAATGAACACAGTGGAACTCGCTTAGTACCGATTTCTGTGCGACTTGCGATATATTCATCCTCCGTGTTTATTTTGGCTTCATAAGCTCGAGTTTGTTCAATACACAGTTATTAGAAGTACTGGGTTTCATATTAAATCAACGTTGTTAAACATGGAATGTTTGCTTTAAAGAGAGAGCACTGTAGTTGATGTTCTTCTTCTTCCACAAAGCTACAAGCTGGTTGGTACGCCTCACGAAAGCCGTTTTGAATCGCATTTTGTTAAAGAGCCACAAAATGCCTCTAACCCTTACCCGGGAATCCGCTCGTGAACTCTGTCGCACCTGCCTGCTCCAATTGGACAGGGAACCCATCAAGGCAGAACTCCAATCAGAGGAGATTCCAATCAGCCAGGAGCTGCAGCAGCTGCTCAACATAAATCTATCGCCGGATGTGGAGAACCAGGAAGTAGACCAGCAGTGGCTGCCCAATGGACTGTGCCTGGATTGCAGGAGCGTGGTCCAGAATTTCGAAAAGTTCCGCAGAAGAGCCGAGGAGAGCAGGAAGCAGCTGCTGGAAATGCTGAAGAAAGACCCACGGGAACCCACTTTTGAAGTGGTCTACGACGGCAAGGAGGATGACCAAGAGTCTCTGCATAGTCTGGAGCCACCTGAACCCGCTCCAGACCCAGATCCCATCGATGAGCCGGCTATAAAGAGAGTCAAATCCCCCCGAAAGCCCTTCAGGGGATCAAGGAACACCCTAAAGTGTTCCGTGTGCCGGCACAGCTTTGCCCACCAGATCACCCTAGCAGCGCACATTCGCAAGGTCCACGAGGGCAGCAAAAGGCCCTTCCAATGCGATCAGTGCGAGAAGGCCTACAGTTTCATGGGCGGTCTGTATACCCACATTCGAGAGGTGCATGTCCCCAAGGAGCGGCGCCATCCCTGCGACCAACCAGGATGCGAGAGGATCTACACCAGCCGCATAGCCATGCAGAAGCACAAAAGGCTGAAGCATAGTCCTCGCGAACGGGATGCCTTGAAGAAATTCATCTGCGAGCAGTGCGGCGCCAGCTTTAACCAGTCGGCGAATCTAAAGTACCACCTTAAGACGAAGCATCCCACGGAGGACGAGGTGGCCGCCAGGGAAGGCGGCAGCGGCGAGCGCCATTTCTGCGAAATCTGTCAAAAGGAGTTCCATTCACAATACACTCTCAAGTACCACACTTTGCAGCAGCACGAGGTGCAGGAAGAGCTGCCCCACGAATGTCAGGTCTGTGGCCGCCGGATGGCCAAGAAGTTCATGCTGCTGCAGCACATGCTGATGCACTCGAGCGACAAGTTGCCTTGCGAGCACTGCGGCAGAAGATTTGCCAGGCGATTCGAACTCGAAGCCCACGTGAGAGCGGTACATTTAAAGCTGAAACCCTTTCCCTGTCGCCACTGTCCCGAGAGCTTTGCTTCGAGAAAAACCCTGCGGCACCATGAGTACATACACACGGGAGAGAAGCCCTACGTTTGCAACATCTGCGGACAGGCCTTCCGGCAACAGACGTGTCTTAAAAACCACCGGAAGGTGCACGATAAGTAGTCCTAGGTAGCCTTGAATAGTTTCTTAAATAGACTGATTAAGTGGAAACGTGGTGTCTTTTGAAGTTTCCGGAACAGATGGCGCTCATCATGGGACATGAATGTGCTATACCAACAACCCCTTTCTCAACAAACAGCAGACATTGACTTAAATAGCTTTAGTGGCCAGTAACTTGTCAAGTACACAGTATTAGGCAGATTCCGGTGGCTTTGCGATGGGATCCACCTGTGTGCTGTGCTGCTCCCGTTCGATGTAGGTTTGCAAGTCCTCCAGAGGCTTATAGTAGAGGTGTACAGCCTGCGAACCGGCCATCATGGAAGCCAGGGCGCAGCCGAGGAACTTCATGTACTGACCCCAGGAAACTCCGGCGGGCATTTTGTTCAGTCAGTGTTTCTCGCGGCTAGCGCCTGCAGATGCTGCTGCTCTTCCACGTAGTTCTTCGCCTGGCGGCGCTTAAAAGTGCGGTCTGCAAGGAAAAAATCCCGTATAAGTAAGTAAAAGCGAAGTAAGGTATTTTAGTCGGAGCAGTCTCACAGAAATTGGTCTCGCCCACTGTCCAATTGATCATGGAGAACTCCAGGCCGGCGCCCAGCAAGAAGAAGAGCGGCAGGAAGCGGTAGACACCGAAGCGTTTCTTTCCTGGCCAACTGTCCAGCAGACGACGCACCGATCCGCTGTACGGACTCATGTGTTTTCAGCCGGCGATTATATAATTCCGTGTTTTTTTCGTTAATTTCAAGGCGAAATTAAAGGGTGCCGTGTTTGTGTATTGCCTCGTCACATGTGTGCGTTAGTTCTGTAAATATTTTTATTGAGAATGTTAAGTTCTGCTACTTTGTTTATTTATTATTTGCCAAAAAAAGGGAAGCTTCACTTGCCACACGTTTAATTTCCATTCGTTCCGTTCCGCAGCAATCAGCTGTTCAATTAGAGATGTGCGAGTGCGCTAGTGATGAGTTTGCGTGATATTAATTAATAAAATACAGCTTTAGTGAAGAAATACATAATTTGCTGAGTGGTGTGATTTTTAAGTTCATAAGTTTAACCCCATATGAAATCAAAGTTCGTTTATTTAGGCCTGTCTTAATTTCAGCTTAAATGATTTAGCAGTTATTGAAGCGCCTCGTGAGCGTAGTAGTTGAACACCTTCGCACTATCATCTCTAATGATTCATCCCTGAAAAAAACAGAGCTTAAATAGTAAACAATTTAGGCCGAATTATGATACACAGTCTGTTTATAGTGAACAGCGGCGGGTAAGCCATGCGTACAAATGCCATGTGAAGTCGATGTAGTAACTATATATCCGCACTTTAGTGAGGTCTTCCTGGAAAAGCACTGGCGCTCGGTTGTCTCGAGATCTGTGTGCGAATACTTCCTTGACGCCCAGCGCTCCGCTCCATATGTGAGTCGCCCCTGCCACGTATGGGCTATATGTTGACTATATGTATGCCTTTCTGTTGCAGGATGTGCCGCCGGTGATAGCCACGCCCCACTACTACCTGATCACGGTGCAAAGGGACACGGTGTCCTTGGTGGCTGCCTGCAAGCAGGAGGTGCCGCCGCTCTTTGTCATCGAGTTCCTGCACCGCGTGGTAGACACCTTTCAGGACTATTTTGGCGACTGCTCCGAGTCCGTGATCAAGGACAACTATGTGGTCGTTTACGAGCTGCTGGACGAGATGCTCGATAATGGGTTCCCGCTGGCCACCGAGAGCAACATCCTCAAGGAGCTGATCAAGCCGCCCAATATCCTGCGCACCATTGCCAATACGGTGACGGGCAAGAGCAAGTAAGCTTATTGATGCTCCTCCGTCTTTGCCCTTCAATCATCTCAACAATCCGATTGTGTCTCTTCAACAGTGTAAGCACCACCTTGCCCTCGGGTCAGCTGTCGGCGGTTCGCTGGCGCAGAAGCGGCGTGAGGTACACCAACAACGAGGCGTACTTCGATGTCATCGAGGAGGTGGACGCCATCATTGATAAATCGGGATCCACGGTCTTTGCTGAGATCCAGGGATACGTAAGTTTAATTTTTGTCTATAAAACACTTGACTGCATTAGTTATTCCTGCGGGTCTTCTTATTCACTATTAGATCGACTGCTGCATCAAGTTATCCGGCATGCCAGATCTGACGTTATCCTTCATGAATCCTCGCCTCTTTGACGACGTTTCCTTCCATCCTTGTGTGCGCTACAAGCGCTGGGAGGCGGAACGCCTGCTCTCCTTCATCCCGCCCGACGGCAACTTCCGTCTGATGTCGTACCACATTAGCTCCCAGTCCGTGGTTGCCATACCCATCTACATCCGGCACAACTTCTCGATCAAAACGGGCGAGCAGGGGCGTCTGGACCTGACGATTGGCCCAAGAAACACCCTGGGTCGCATCGTGGACAAGGTGAAGCTGGAGCTGACTATGCCGCGCTGTGTGCTCAATTGCCTATTGACGCCGAATCAGGGAAAGTACACCTTCGATTCGGTGACCAAGACGCTGTCCTGGGATGTGGGACGGATCGATGTATCCAAGCTGCCAAATATTAGGGGTTCGGTAAGAATATATATTGAGACATATCCTTTTGCAAGAGTTATGTATCTAACATCTTATATTATTTATATTTGTATCCCAATAATTATATAATGTCCTCGCCCCCTAGGTTTCCATTACGCCCGGGACGACCAACATCGATGCCAATCCATCCGTGAATGTCCAGTTCCAGATCTCGCAGCTGGCCGTCTCAGGCCTAAAGGTAAATCGCCTGGACATGTACGGCGAGAAGTACAAGCCCTTCAAGGGCGTCAAATACCTGACCAAGGCGGGCAAGTTCCAGGTGCGGATGTAGACGAAATCATCATCCGGATTCCAATTCCAGCTTTAATTAAGTGCTAACGTTAAGTGTATTCCGTTGTATTTTGTCATTCGATGTTTTCGCCCTCGCCTCTCTCCCCCTCAATCTCAATTATGTATCTATATCTACCCATAAAATTTTAACTTCAAGTGTGGTCACCGTGTCGTTGTTCTTGGACGGCGTCGCCATATTCGAAGCGTAAGAATGCGAGAATCGATTGGGAATGGAGTCGCAAGTCTTCGAGTGGCGTGGCGTGGCGTGGCATGGCACGGCAATGGCTTCGTCGACTCCACTGCACTGCAAGTCACTCCACTCGATCGCAGTGCGCCTGGCAACAGCCGGCGAGGAAACCAATAAATTCAAATGAAAATGCAAAACTTGATTTTGCAGCCAGGCCAACGCATTTAGCATACGAATAGTGTGTATACATCTTGTTTATAAATGTGTGTGAGCATTGCGAAGGAGTAGAGACTCGCTAACGTACATTTCTAGGCAAGAGTGCAAAAAAGTGAAACATTAATCAAATTATAGAGCTATAACATTACTCTTACCCCACACATTTTGTAAAAGAAAACTAATTGAGTTGCAATTTGACTATTCTATCAAATTGTTATTCATTATTAAATGCATTCGACAAGCACACGAGGTTTCACTGTGCTGGCTCGTTATCTCCTTATACAAGCTTAGCTGCATTTTTGCCTCTGGCCGAGACCGGTTTCCCCTGCCACGCCCCCGATGCCTTGAACCGCCCCCCTTAACCCATCCCGACCACAAGCAGCAACAGCTTCTAGGCTTTTGGGCGCGGCGTGCAACGGTAGCCAACAAGCGCCACCGAAAGGCGACGTCGTCCATGGCTAGACATGTTATACACACACACAGAGAGCCCGAAATGTTTGGGGCTTGGACGCCAAACGGGTTGAGAAAATAACTCTGATTTCGAGTCCAGTTCGCGAGTCATTTTTCAAGCGTGGGAAACAATCGTTGAAAGGCAGCAAGTTCCTTAAGAACAGAATGAAAGGAGGAATGGGCAGCACAATTCGCCACAGCATGGCGGCATGCCCCAAAATCCAGCGGCTTATTTACAGCGGGCGACACGGGTTCGTTGCCTCAGTCTTTCGTTCTGCCCTCGTAGGGCTTCCCTATCGCTATCTCTGTCTTCCTCGCCACAGAATGAAAATCCGCTGGCATTTAGCCGCCGTAATTGATAGCACATTGCATACGTTGCGATTCTAAATGTTTCCCATCCCATTTGCATTTTCCAACGCCGGCGGAGAACAATTTAAAGTCAAGAATTTAAGGGCAGCGTCGAGAGTCGAACACGTAATACCCAGGCAAATACAAAATTTAGTCGCTTGTCTGCTATGAATTCTCATACTTTAGCTGTGAATGTGTGTTTAAGACTTATGCTAGCATAAGATTACTCCGTTAAAAAAATGGCATCTTTTTATATTTTATAAATGCATACAGTAGTATAAATGATGAATTGACACTTAAGTAGAACAAATCAGCAAGGGTGTCACTTAAGTATCACTTAAGATTGCGAGCTGGAAATGTTAATTGCGCTTGGAATTGTTGCAGTTCATGAACAGACCTAAATCACTTGATTGTGATTTCAAATGAGCCGCTTGAGGTGTCGATGAAGCCTCATAAATTTCCCATTTAATCGAGAATGCACGTGATTTCGTGCCCACCTTCTAGTTTTATTCGATACAAAGTCCTGTTCACTCAAAAATCATTAGATGTTTTGTAGCTTCTGTTTGGTAAACGTCTTTGCTCCAGTAATGTTTAACCATTAGCATCTCGCTAAGTGGTTTTAAATGAATGCAAATGCAGAACTGCATTTGATCTACTTGCAAATGGAGGCGTTTGAACAGCTCGAGGCTTAATTTTTAAGTAAATTTAAAAATGCTCTTTCATGCTTAACTTCTTAAGTAGTGTGTTTGTATATCGTGAGTTTGCAATAAAATTATGTATACTCGCAATGGCATTTACATAAATCGCAGACCGATGTCACTTTTGGACAACTATTTAGTGGGATTTCCACGGAAAAAGGGATAAGCAACTTATGTTTAAGATTGTTTATTTCATAAATGCTATATTTCTTTCTTAACATCCTTGCAGTAGCGGATCATCTGTGATAATGCACATTGTCAGTTATAGTTTCTATGTGCACTACGAAACCTCGAAAAGTTCACTAAGGCTAATGGGGCCTTTGGCCCCAAACAAATTCGAGTGAAAGACAAACAACAAGCATTTGTCATTAGCGCAACAAGGTTGCGCCCCAACTTACCCCCCAAAAAGAGGCAGTGGCGGGTGGGGAAGGGGGTTACTGTAGCAGGTCGTGCAGTTGCATTCGCCGTTCGATAATAATTTATGCAACTTGTCGCCGGTGCACTAAGCAAATGTTTAAACTCTGCTTGTTCGCAGTGTTTGCCTTGCTTTGTGCTTCGCCTTTGTTTGTTTGTTTGTCTGCTTTGATTGCTGTTTGCCCAACTTTGCGAAAGGTGTTGAATGCCGGCCATGCCAATTGGATCGTCCCACATGGTTTCAAAACTATGGGCAATATATGTATAAACCAGAGCACGAACCCCCCACAGATTGTCTAATAAGCATTCGAGCGTCTGGCCGGCTAATTAGAAACGCTGATTGTCTCCGCAAGGAAATGCGGGGCAAGCGGTGGAAAATTGGGGGTAACTGGTAAGCAGATCCACCGTGTGGGTATTGGAATATGGGTTACCCAGTAGTAGTTTATCAGTAATATATTAGATATAGTACATAGTAGTAGTAGACATGCGTGCCCTTTACTTTGATTTGAAATGCTTACTGTTGAAATTCTGTCAAGGAAGTAGGTTTTATCTAAAAAGACAGATGTATCGCCGATGTATCCGACGGGCATTCCCGACATAAAGACGCCTCCACAAACTAGACTTTCTGTGTCAGTGCGATG